AAGGTACCTAGAGCTTTCACAGCAATTTGCCGGGTTAGGGGTGGAGGGATATTGATGCAAACCAAATCTACGTCCTGGTGCAGCAAGGACATCATCAGTCCGACTCGTGTAGAAGGAGATATTCATTTCTTCTGCCAGCTGCTTCGCTTCCTCTTCAGTCTTTCCCCAGAGCGCTTCAATAGAGAAGCCTTCTGCTCGCAGCAAGGGGACCAGGACCCGGGCGGTGCTGCCAGTCCCAAACACACCCACTCCGGGAAGCATTTTCATTCTGCGTTCATTCAAGCATCAGGGTCAACACGTGGGCCTCCAAGGAAGTGCTCAGCTCCTCAGCTTTCCGCTCCATCCACAGTTCCTAAAACACAGAAAATTACAAGTCAATGCAAACAAAAACTGTATTTTGAAGTCAAAGGGTATCTATAGCCTGACTGCTAGCATTTATCCTTCAAAAGTTTCAAAGATTCTCCTGAAGAAAAAAAATTATATGAAAAAAACACCTTGCAATATTTGGAGAAATAGTTTTAAGGGACAAGCCAAAGAGCCCTGTTGCAGAAGGCAGGAAGGATGGATAGCAAGCAGCCTGACAAGTCACGGGGCCCTCTCGAGCCTCGAAATGCAGGAAATGCTCACAAAGGAGCACACATCGTGATGATGCAAGCCCCTAAACGAGATAAAGGATTGTGAGATGAGGTAGTACCTTCTGTTAGACAAACAGATACCGAGGAAAAACGTAGCAAGCTTGTGGGTGCACACGTCTTTATTCCTACCCAAATATACAAACTGAAAGCAGCTACTGGGACCTTAAGCTTACGGCAGGTAGTTAAGCCACTACAGAGGATATCTAGAAAACACGTCCTGTGAGGAAAGCTCGCGTTCATTTGGTTAAGTCACACTTTTGTTCTTGCAAGTATTTCCTGGTAAATAAATCCCCTCTGATCCTTGCTTGCCAGTGTCTCAGGACTGCACTGGCCACACCTGGCTGAATTTCCTTGCATGGTTGTGGCGCTAACCCCAGGATGTCAGAGGCCCTCAACGTGTCATGCCTTTGGGAACCCTACCTCCTGCACCCCAGTGGCAAGCCATTTCTTCTAAGGGAAGTTTGCTTGATTTTATATTCATGACAAATATTTACAGATGCTGTAAAACATCTCATGAAATATTCACTGAATTAATTCTGTATGTTTTTTCCCCATGTTCAGTGTGATGTTAGGTTTGTCAAACCATTGTTGCCTGCTATTTGAAATTAATTCCCTGTTATTCAACACTTAGAGGCACACACAAATAGGGACGGAACCAAGACGATCTAGACAATCTTTATCGTTCTGCATGAAATGGTAACGTACTGACAGGAAATACTGGCTTCTAGTCAGGCTTTTATAAATAATGTGAAGAAGAATAAGATCCTGCCACCGGACAAAATGCAAAGATACATGTTGAAGCCCCCCACATACAGATTTGGGGGTTTACAGGCCAGAAGAAAAACCACTCGCAGTGAGCACCACATTCTTTTGAACAGACATCAACTGAACAATGCAGAACACAGACCAGGTACGTGCATGCTCACACCAGGTTGTACAGCCACACTCAGCAATGGCAAATTTACACAGCACAGCAAGACTTTAGGAGAGGACGAAATCTTTGAGAATGCTGTTAAGAGCACATTGCAGCACGTAACACACCCAACAGATAAGCTGACTTCCGTAACACTTGCTTATTCTAAGCTTTATTTTTTTCCTGTTTCCCATCCAACTACCTCTTTAAAATCTCAGGGAGGTGGAATTCATTTTCAGATTTTGGAAATTTTGTATTCCCAAAATGCGCTGCTGCATCACTGTTGCTAACAGATACTGGCACAACCACAAATCCCACTGCTTTACCTCCACAGATACAGCTCTGGAATGGTACCAGACAAGGACACCTGCTCACCACTAGCACCACGACAAAAGCCCTGTGTCATCAATGTTTAGCAAACCCAGCCTCAGCAGTGACTTGTCACAATGCAGCCACACTCCCAGCACGTGAAGATGTGACTTGCACAGCTGGAGTTGGAGTGGAGTCCAAACCCCACTGTGTCAGGATGCAGCCACTGCTGCCCGCAAGAGGCAGCTGTCATTATATCCACTAAGAACACACAGAAGCCCCAGGAGAACAGCGCTGTCACCCTGCAGAAGTCCCCAAAGCACCTTTCTTGGAAACACTGCAAACCTCTCTGACGCTTCTCATCCAAGAGGAAAAAAAAGCAGAGCTGAAAAAAAGACTCAGAAAAAGGTGACAAAAAGCGCACAACATCTATGCAAGTTAGACCTAAGCAAGCAAAGATTCCTCAACCCGAAAAAGACATCGCTGCAGGATGTCATGGAGGGTAATAAAGCCATGATTAACCATTAATGAGGAGTCAAAGGGAGGCCAGACAAGCTCAAGGCACGCCTCAACGGGGTGTGAAATACGCACAGGTCATACCAAGTGCAGTAAGTAGCAGAGCTGGCAGAGCACAAGAGATGGAGAGGGGCTTCAGCATGTCCTCGTTCTGTTCTTTGCACCCTCCTCCTCAGGCTCGTGGCCAGCACGGTCTGGCTGTGCTGTCTGGAGAAGGGAAAACGCGGTGGTGTCCCTCTGTAGCTTGACTGATCTGGAAATGCGACTTGGAGTAGGAGGCCAAGCATGTGCTGACTGGAGGCCTGGGAAGCCTGAGTGGTCTCTCCAAGGGTCTCACTGAGGTCTGGGCATGCAGAGTGGCAGTGGTACGAGGGGGCACACGGGGCCGGGTGTCCCCAGGAGGTCAGCTGGTCCCATCCTGACAGCAGGCTTCAGCCAGAGCATGTGGCAGTGCTCCTGGCCACAGGAAAGAGGCCTGACTGCGAGCAGCACCCTCAGCTCCATCCAGAAGCCGGGTGCCATTTACACCAGGTCACAGCAAGCCCCAAAGCTTCTAGGGAGCCTGAGGGGATCAGTCATTAAAATCATAAAAACCCTTTTAGAAGCCAATCTTTCTGGAAAGGAGAGCCATCGCTCACCAGTATCCCCAGTCACAGGGCTGGGCAACGCTTTCCTGAGAGCCCTCGCACGGAAAGGAGCGACAGCCAGGCTTGCAACAAGAGGCACAGCCCGGCTGAGGCACAGCCCGGCTGAGGCGAGCCGCCCCTCACCGTCCCTCAGCACCTCACGGCCCCGCTCAGCCCCGCGGCGTGCCCGAGGCCCCGGCGCTCCGGGACGGAAAATGCGACGGGCACCGCGGCTCCCAGCCCCGGAGGGTCCCCCCCAGCCCTTACCTGCCGCCGGAGGTTCGCCGAGGGGCCCGGCGGCACCGCCTCGCCTCCATCCCGGCGGCGCCCGCTGCTCGCTCCCGGCGCCGGCGACGCCCTGAGCGGCCCCGCCGCCTCCTCAGGAGCCGGGGCGGGCACGGGCGCTTGAAATGGCGGCGCCCCGAGCGCCTTCGGAGGTTGAGGGAGGCGCGGCCAATCGTGAGGCGGGATTCGAGGGAGGGGGCGGGTCTTCTGCTGACGGGCAGCGCTTCTAGCCAATCGAAGAGGCGGCGCGGCGGCTGGGCTGAGGCTGGGCGGGAACAGGGGTGAAGGCAGCGAGGCTGGGCGCTGCCCGGCCAGGCCGCGTCCCTTTGAGCCCCGGGATCGTTGGAAACAACTTCAGAGAGAAGCAATAAAAGAGGGAGGGGGCCCACAGGGCTCGATTTCCCAGTCCAAGTTGGGGATCGTGGGCAAAATGGCTGGAAAGCCTTTAATTGGGATCTTATTAAAGAACTACATACGGTGGTGACCGCTTATGGGTTGTCAGCCCCGTTTATGCGGTCCCTGCTGGAGAATGCCATGAGCTTCTAACCTCCTGTGATGTACGACAAGTGGTGATGATGATATTAACTCTGACACAAAAGTTATTATGAGAACAGAAATGGAGAGAGTGGAGCAAACACACAGTGCTCCGAAATTCAGAAAGGTAGCCAGGAGATCTGCTTTTTGGGGTCGTTGTACCTCACCTGCTGGGTACAGACCCGATGGCGGATCTGTGCCTTCAGGCACCTCTAGCTCCAGGCACCCTCTGGCTGACCGTGACCCTGGCCCTCCAGGCAGTGCTAACAATTCCAGAGACTGCAGACCCTGCACAGCCCTTTACAGAGGTCCAGCAAGGGCTGTCTGAGCCGTACGGACACCGAGTCGCTGGCGTCTGCTTTTGCAGCAGCACTGAGCATCAGTCAGGACCCAAGGGTCACAAAAAACGCTATGGGTGCGGAGAGATCCAGCCCCGACCACTTCATGTCCAGAGGCAAGGCAGGCTGCTCCAGCATCCATGCCAATGATTTCTCCCAAGACCCAGCTGGGATTCTCAGCAACACACCCCGAAAGGCAGCTGGGCTGTGCAGGATACCTATGCTGTGGATACTCTTCCTCATGGCCACTCGGCAGTGCCTGCTCTTGCTGTTCTGCAGCTGCAGGCTTTCTTGGCACTCGGGAGCAGGGAGCCGCTCTGGGGAGGAGAGGGGCAATCGTGGTGCCCCGGGGATCTTGTCCTGGCATCGCTGCAGCCAGAGGCAGCCGGGTAGCATGAGAGGCCACCCAGAAAGCATTATCCTGGCCAGGCAGAAGCTTGTGCTGGCAGCCCGTGTGTGGGCAGCTGGCGACATCTGGTCAACCCATCCCCATGTCAAACCACGCACAGAGTGGCCGCGATGTTTTGGGGTTGGCAGGGCCAACACACGCCTGGTCCCCCAGCAGCAGGAGCACTGCTTCCTCAGAGGGGTCTGTCCCCCAGTGTGAAAAGGGCTCCAGGGGCAAGGGAAATTGGGAAGCCCTTTCCCCTGTACCCATGGGGCATGCGCTTCACCCACCTGTGCTGGTGACTGAGCCACCAGGGTGGGATAGGAACGAGCATGGAAGCACCAACACACATGGGTGTGGTGCTGTGTCAGAGCCCAGAGCGCGTGGCTGAGCTGAGATGGAATCAAGCAGCAAAGAGAGGAGATAACGTCAGCCTGAAGTGAGGGAACTGAGGAGAGGGTAAGCCCTGGTGTGCAAGAGGAACTGCCTGCACAGCACGGGTGAGCGGTGCAGAGCAACCGCCCCGGTGCCGCAGGAAAAGACGTGGCCCCAGCCCCTCCGCCCCGAGCACTGGGAGGCTTTCTGGAGAGCTGCCCGAGGAAGGAGACATGAGCACCCTGCTGCTGAGAGCCTTTCTGCCCCTGCTGCTCCTCGCCTGGCTGCCTGCAGGTGAGTCCTCGCTTTGGGGAGGGGTGTGAGGATGAGGAGGATGAGGATGAGGGGCAGTACCAGCACTGGGGACCATGGCCTGTAGGCAGCTGGAGGGCATGGCAGGGCTGTCACCAGTCCCTCCCAGTGCCTGCAGGAAAGTTGCCCGCTCTCTGAACTTTGTGTGTGGGTGATGCACCTGCAAGAGGTTTGGGACAGAGCTTTGCCATCTGCTCTGGGCTCTGCTCTTCCTGCAGCATCTACCACCCCTTTTGCACCAGCACCTCCGCAGGTGCCTGGCAGTGCCCCCCCTGCCATTGCCCGGGCACAGGCTCCAGGAGCTACCTGCAGGGCCCCAGTTTTGGTCACCAGGCTTCAGAACAGCCTCGTCTTCAGAGCAGGAAATTGAAAGCTCTTTCAAGTAGGAAACACCTTACATAACGCAGAAGACATCAGCATGGATAAACAGTGTGCTCGTAACTCATCCCAAACACACATAGAGTCCACCAAAGGTGGAAACAAGGACAGACTGCCTGGGGGAATGCAGACACACTGCCTGAACACACCCAGGTAGTGTTAGAAAAGCCAAATGCCACCTGGAGTTCCACCTTGTGAGGAACATGAAGAGGCAGAGAGAATGATTTCTGTAAGTACATTGAGAGCAAAAGTAAAGCTAAGGATTATGAGTTAACTCGTGAGAGAGAGGCAGAGGACACAGTGAAAAGGATATGGAAAAGGCTGAGGTACTTGGTGCTTTTTTTTTTTTCCCATCCCTGGTGGTTTTCAACACCAGGCTGGACGAGGCCCTGGGCAACCTGATCTAGTGGGTGGCATCCCTGCCCATGGCAGGGGGTTGGAACTGGATGGTCTTTAAGGTCTCTTCCAACCCAAAGCGATTCTGTGATCCTGTTCTGTGAAAACAGGCAGGGGAAGAAAGAATTGGAGATGTCCCTAAGCCTGATGCCTGGGAAGGGGGTCAGCTGGCATCCTCAGGGCTTCATATGCAGGAAGTGGGTATTTCTTAACACAAAGCCAGCCCTCCATGTTTCTTTTTCTGCAGGACTCACTCAACAGCATCTAGTCCCCTCAGTGAGAATCAATGTGTCAGAGCTCAGCTGGCAGCGTCTGCTCCAGATGGTGTCAAACTGCACTGACCAGACAATGAAACAGTCTGTAGACCAGATCAAAAACATGATGAAGAAGGTAGAGATAGTTGAGATTCGTATGTTATATGGGGAAAAACATTCTGCCGTTGGAAGTATGAATGAAACAAAAACAGCAACATGCACGTGTGAGATGAGCAACACAACTGGGGTGAAAGATGAAACCAACAAGACCCAGCATGGTAAGAGCCACAAGGCCACCAACACCCACGGCAGCACAGAGGGGAAGGGGTGAGGCAGAGACAGAGAGGGGGCCTCGCTTGGTAGGTGGGAAGTGACTTCAGCTCTGAGGTTCAGGAGCAATTTTTAAGCTACTCCAGAAGCTCCTTGCCAGAGTGAGCTTTGGGGGATGGAAGGAAGCCATAGAGGCTTGGGGGGGGACGGGACGGGACAACTACTACATTATCTCTGCTTCCCTATGGCTGACAGCTTCCCTACAGCCAGCCCTCGGTCCCAATGCACGTGGCTCTGGGAAACAACGGGGACTGAGCCCAGGGCTTTGGCAGCACCTCCTGCTGCGGGTTCCTGCAGACCCTTCTGCCTAGGCTGCAGGAGGAGCAGGTGTCTCCCCAAGTCCTCTGCAGTTTTTGATCTGACACTGCAGGCGTCCCCGCCGAAAGCAGAGCAATGAGCATAGCACCTGCTGCCTCCACGTGAGCGTTCACTTGTGTCTCTGCCTTCCAGAATTGGGCCCTGAGACGTCTCCGACCAGCAGCCCTGAGCATAAGACCTATGAAGGTGAGGCACCACGGCCCTGAAGGTGCTGGAGCCTGAACTGCCCGCAGCTATGAGGGGGTTGTAGGAGTTCTTAGGGAGAAAGAGGGGCAGAAAGGGGGGGAATGGCTCCTGCTGTTCTCTCCTGTCTGAGCTGCTGGCAAATTGGTGTGGGCACCAGCCAGTCACAGGCCATGAGCACCAGCAATGCGGGGAAGCTGCTGCCGCGCACAGCCCCCAGCTGGCAGAGCCTTTTGGATGAGGTTCTGGGGACCTTCCCCAGCACGGCTTTGTCAGTAAGGGTGGTGGGTGTTTTGGGGTGCAGACCGTGAGCCAGGGGGGTGCTCTGGGAGCTCTCCTGCTGCGGGGCTGCAAGCTGTGGTGTGGGGACAGCAGCTCACGTGCATTCTGTGCTTGCTGTGCAACACAGGAATCATCCACACATATATCATCCCTGGGTCGCTGGTTTTGTCGATTTTCTTCCTGATTTGTGTTCTGATGTGTTTGTGCAGAAGGAATGAAAGGAATGCTAAAGGTAAGGCTGAGCCTGGGCTACACCACCGTCTCCAGTGGGAGCTGGTGAGCGCTGTCTCACAACCTCTGGATGGACTGAGACGTGTGAGACGCCTGCTGTGCAGGTGTTTTCTGCATTAAAATTAATGATAGTCAACGACATTTTCTTTTTCAGGAAAATCTGAAAGCAAGCATGTGGAAGAGATGAGTCAGCTCAGCACGGTAAGCCGGGGAGAGCTTTTCATGTGTTGCTCTGTTCTCTCTAACAAAAAGCAGTTGAATGCCCCTTTAAAGGGCTTCAGAGCAACAGTTTCTGAGCAAGCCAGGGCCTCCCGTACAGTGTTTGGTCAGTGGGAAATAACTTGTGCCAGTATCTGGATATGTACAGAACTGACAGCCAAAGGCCTGCTCACTGCTGTCTTCCTCTGCAGCCTCAAAACGAGGAGGTGATGTACGCGAAGCTGAAGTTTGAAAAGACGGAGACAAAACCTGCTCCTGCCTCAGAAGTTGTTTACGCTGAGATAAAATCACAACAGAAGTAGAGAGCTGAGAATGCCGGTGCTGCTGATGCAAAGGGAAGGTTCTGCTGGGGACAGGGCAAGTGAGAGCGAAGGGAGGGACAAACAGCTTGTCACATGCTTGCCACAGCTGTGACCCCTGAAAACCAGGGATCTGGTTTTCACAGTCTGAAACCACTGCTCTAAGGCAGTGCCATCTTGGCCATCAAAACCTTCTGTTTCCCCCAGCTGGCTGTACATATACTTTACATTCCCAGGTAGAAGCCAGCTCTCCAGCTGGGACAGGTCCCCCTTGTGTTCCCGCGGAAAGGCCGCAGCAGCTTTTTGCTGGTGACCGCTTCTAGCAACTTGTGCCGTGCCTCAGTAGCAGCAGCAGGCACCGTGTGGCTGCCCCAGCCTGGGAAGCACTCAGTGTCCCAGTAGTGCTGGAGCAAGTGGCCCTCTAGGAAGCTCTCCTGCCAGCACTGGGTGATGTATGCGCTGTGAAAAGCCCTGAAGCAGTTTTCTGGATTTCCTTGCTATGTCCAGAGCAGGCATCTTCTGTGACAAATTTCACCCTTGTCTGATTCACTCGCTTGCAACACAAGAAGCAGGGACAGAAAGGAATAGTTTGCTTTGCAGAGGTCCAACGTGGCTATAGCTGAAGTGATTTGCTTTATAGCAGGAATTGACACATGTATATTTGTCAATACTGTCTTTAATCTGAAAAAATAAAAATAAAAATAAAAGGTGAAGTTTTTTGCTGTCAGTGTTGCCATTTACCTACTGCTGCTGGTGGGGACTGAGCTGAAGCACTGGAGGAATTGCCAGGGAGTGGGGAGGGACACTAATAAAGGCATTGAGGTAGCCAGGGAATGAGGGGCACAAATAGGCTGCACCAACCACAGAACTTCCTCACCAGCCTCCTCCTGGACACTCATAGACCTGGAGGAAGAGGAGGATTGCTGGGAGTGCTGCAGCTTGAGGAGAAGGCAGAAATTACGTGGGGAGGTACGAAATGCAGCACCAGCCACCCTGCTCCCTCCTGCTGGGGCAGGCAGGGAGCATGGAGGGGCTGAAGCCCAGCAAGAGGACAGCGAGGGGTCTACTGGCCGCATTGGAGAGGCAAGAGGGGAGGCTTCAGAGGAGGCAAAAAGGGCTGCAGAGGACCTCCTTAACATCCCACAGATGAACAAAATGGCCACAAAGACAGGAGAAATACCAATGACGTGGGCAGAATAACACAACAGCTAAATGGTTGAGGTAGAATCAAAAAGCTAAGGTAAAAAATGAGTTAGAACTAACAAGTGGTGCAAAAGGCTCTGTATTTGTATCACTGCATAAAAGACACAAGAGGAAGGAAGAGGAAAGGTTTGGTTTGTTGTTTCACCAAGAAGAAGAAATCATAAACACACAACCAGAGGGAAGTGGAAGCATTCACAGCACTATCTTTGCATCCTGCCTCGCACCTGAGGTTAGTGGGATCAGACCTGTTACACTGTTTTTAGGAAGGACACCCAGGAGCAAGCCAGAACCAGAAAAGAAACAATGAGAGTAGTGAGCAAGAGGTGAAGTTACCCATGAGCACGTAAGGAACTGGCTGAGATAATTTCTTGAGATCTTTGGGTCTTTTGCAAGAGCGTACAGGAAGCGTGGGGAAACGTCTTTGTAGATCGGCTATTTTTGGAGATGTGAAGTATGCACGTCCGGAGCTGAGTGCCAGAATTTCAGTTCTCAGAAAGATGTTATCACAGGTGATTTAGCAAGTGCACAAGTGCCTGTGTAGAGACCAAGTGGTAACAAATGCAATGTTCCCCATGCACGTAATTGCTGCCTCCCTGTCCCCTCATGCTTGTTGGTGTCTGGGAGCCTGCCCCATGGTTCCCTCTGGCTCCCTGGGACCCACATCCAAGTCATGGCCATGTACTCTCAAGCCTGGTGGGTGAGACATCTGTGCTTAGTAGGCCGGGTTTCAGGACCAGGAGCAGGAGGACTTCCTCCTTGCACCGCTGTCTTTGCTCCCTGCACAGAGGGAGCTCGAGTCATACTGGGAAAGGGATCTGAAAGCACTGCTTCTCCTATTATTGTTTAGTCAGAATTGTACCAGTGAGTGTCTGGGGACCCTGGTGACAGAGGAGCCACTCAGCTTCCACCATCATTGGTGAAGGTTGTTTTGTAAAGATCAGCACTTGGGTCTGGGGTGTTCCAGTTAGATTCCACATATTGCTGAACAAGCAGTATGTGTCATTGCAAGGTCAGAGCTGCACCTTGCTAGTCTTACAACAATGCCTGTTTCGCACTGGACCAAGCTAACAGTTTTTAATCCCTAACGCATGGGGTCCTTCATCACATCTGCAGCTGGCAATGGTGATTTTGGGCACATGGGCACCGCTGAACTGGTTCACCCTGGTATTACTCAGCTTTGCAGTTGCTGTAACCATGGTTACTACACTTTCCTCAGTAAAATCTCCAGCAGAAAGAGTTCTGCAGAATACAAGGTCTTGAGCAAAGCTGTAGTCATGCTGGATGTGTGAGATGCAACTAAAGGTCTCTCCCAAACCTCCACCCCAGCCATACCAGTGGTGGGGGCATTAGGGAGACCATAACCCAGGCTATGAGGACCGACATTCCCATCAGCTGCTCCACAAGAACCAGTCACTTTCCTCATCCCCAACCACAAAACACAACCCTCAGGGCCTGAAGAAGACACAATGGAGGCTTGGCCTCTGCAAACTCTCCATTACCAGGAATAGGAAAGGCAGTAGGAGACCACATGGGATAAAGCAGGGGAAGGGACCCAAACTGCAGTGAGAGAATCCAGAAAAAAAGCAAAGGGAAAAAGAAAATAAAAAGAGGAGAAACAGAAAAGGATGGAGAAGAGCGAGGGTAGAAGATGTGGTGAGGAGTGGGAGGACATTAGTACACATGGCTGGCAAGAATAAGAAGAGAAAGGCTAGCACATAAGAGAAGAGAGAAAACAGAAGAGAATTAGGGGAAGAAGATCAAAGAGAAGTGGATGAAGGTGTAGTGAAGAAAGAGAAGAGGAGACACCAGAAGGTTCAGAAGAAGGGGAAGAGGGAGAAAAATTACCCAGGCCAAGGAAGCTACCAACTCACTTTCACAGTATCATAGAATCCTCTAGGTTGGAAAAGACCTTCAGGGTCATCACGTCCAACAGCCAACCTGACCTACCAAGTCCCATCACTAAACCACGTCCCTCGATGCCATGTCCACGTGTCTCTTAAATACCTCCTGGGATGGGAAACCCACCACTTCCCTGGGAAGCCCATTCCAATGCTTGACTGCCCTCTCTGTGAAGAAATTCTTCCTAATGTCCAATCTAAATCTTCCCTGGCGCAACTTGAGACCATTCCCTCATGTCCTGTCACTTGTACCTGAGAAAAGAGACTGAAGCCCTCCTCACTGCAACCTCCTTCCAGGGAGTTGCAGAGAGCCATGAGGTCTCCCCTCTTCTCCAGATTAAGCAACCCCAGTGCCCTCAGTGGCTCCTCACAACTCTTGTTTTCCATCCCCTTTTCCTTTACCTGCAACATTTTTTTCCTCCCCGTTTTTAACTTGATTTATGCTTCCCTTGGTCAATTGCTTGGTTAGGCCCCAAATCTGAAAGAAACCCTGGACAACCCTGTCCTGGTGTGTCATACCTTCAGACTGCCATCAACCCCTTCATTTTTGGTGAGCATGAGGTCCAGCAGACCACCTCTCCTCACTGCCTCTTCTGTCACTTGGAGAAGGAAGCTCTCATCAACGCATTCCAGGAGCTTCCTCGATTGCTTATGTCCTGGTGTCTTGTCCCTCCAACAGATCTCAGGGTAGTTCAAGTCCCCCATGAGGTCCAGTGCGGTGGCGTGCAGCATACACCCACTATAAGGTCCCCTATACCTCCTTTACATCTCATCTCTTTAATCCTAAACCAGAAGTCCAGAAATTCCCAAGCGGAGCTTCATGTGCAAGAGAGAGCAGCAAGGGGGAAGACCCAAGGCTGGAGCAGGCCCAAAGTAGAACCAAAAGCAGGGAGATGAGCAGACACCTCCATCCCAGCCAGCCAAGAAAGGCTCCCAGGCTGCTGGCTCAGATCTCAGCTTAGTCCCATGGCTTTGGATTTCCACCCCATATGTTTGGGTTCTTCTTCCTGCACCCCAGGCAACCATGAACCATGCAGTGGACCATGCTCTGGGTCTGGGACCAGTCTGGATAAGCTTAATACAAAGCAGACACTGGCTCCCTGGAGCAGAGATGAAGGCTAGGACACAGGGAGGGGATCCTTCCCCCGGAGAGGGTCATGCACGTGGGCAGGGGGAGGCCTGGGATGTTCAGATCTTGATGGGGCCTGGAGCAGGACAGGGAGGATGGCTGTCCTGTGGACCCCCGGTGACCCATCTCCAGACTCACGCAGCCATGGGTCTTCCCCTCCCCAGTGGGCACTCCTTGGATCCAGTTTCATTGGGACACAGCTGGTGACTTTTAGTCTCCATCCACCCCAAAAATATGGGGCCTACCGTTGCCCTGATGCCAAAGCACCCCACTGCTCCCCTCCACGTGCACCCTGGAGTCCTCAGTTCCCCTCCGTGTGCCCCCTGGCTCCCCTAGCCCAGTTGTGCAGCCCCCAGCCCAAATGTGCCCCTGCCACAGTGGTGGACCACCTGGGTGCAGGTCGGTGGCCATGGTGGTCGTCTTGTCCTCCTTGCACACCCCATCTCCACAGGCCGGGTTGGGAAGAGCTTGGACATGTTTCCCCCTGCTGTTAGGCCAGCATATGACAAGAGCACAGCAGGTTCTTGCTGTCTTTATTATTATTATTTTGATACAGTAAATCCTCTCTACAGTGACAGGTTAGTTAAATCTGGTTTACATATTGCCATCTTGTGTGAGTACTGTGGCCTCGACACCACTGTGACAAAACCAGGTTGCGCTCAGACAGAGAAAGGGGGAAATCCATTAAATTCTGCTGTGACCAGGAAAAGAGGAAAACCAACAAAACTCAAAGGAACGAACCACAGGGAAAACTGAACCAACAAAACCCAGGTGGGAAACCAAAGGCAAGCATGACCAGACCACCTCAAAGGGAACCACACGGCACCGCTTGTACGAGAAAACGTGGAGAACAAACCCAAAAGGTCCGGGACCGGATAACCCCATATATATAATATGTATAGGCATTTATATATATATCATCTGGAAGGACACGCTGAGAAAACAGGTGATCACAGCGGTATCTACAGTAAAAAGGATCTACTTAGCTTTCAGAGTCACACCGAGAAGGAAGCACACGGCAGAACAAATGGGGGGAAAATGGGGACACTGGCCACGTTCAGGGTGGCCGTTCGTTATAGGGGTGCTGACCAGGGTTCAGGCCTCAGGGCCAGGAGCCCCTGAACACCGGCTGGGAGCCCTGGAGGCCCTTGATGGAGGGGGAACAAGGTGTGGGGCCAGGGCCTGCAGGGGGACTGCTTCAAGGGTGCTGCGTGGGACCTGCTCCCCGTGGGGCTGCACAGCCCAACGCCGCTGTCCCTGCACCCACTGGGGTGCTGCTCGCCCAGGTGATGGCCCCTGGTGGATCCTCAATGGGTTTCTGCTGCCACCCTGCACAGGGGCTACCCAAACAGTCCCAAACCCCTCTTGCCAGAACGGGGAGCTCCCTCACCCTGCGTACAAGAAGAGCTGGGCTCTGCTGCCCGGGATGGGCTGGGGGCAGCAGCCGAGGGCAGGGTTACACGATGACGGGGCTCTCCGTGCCGAGAGCAAGGTCAA